GAAAAAGACCAATTGAACTATCTTTAGTGTTTCACAAACTTACTTGATCATTTAACTTCTTTTCTTCAAACCTCATTACCAACCTTCTTTAAACAAATCTACTTAGGCTGATTGAGGAAAAACATCTATTTTCCTGATACTATCCCAGGTGTAGCACTGCCATAGTACTTACTGCATGTCCTTGGAAATTTGGAGTCAGTCATTTTCTTAAAATACTATTAAGCGAATAAGTTTCTCATGCAATAGACAGACTGCAAACATCTCGGTGGTAAAATAATCACCACGTTTTGTCCGTGTTATATGTCTAACACCTGGAACACATTTTCAATATGATATGTACTTGATAAGTAAATACATTATTGGCCAAAAGAGTACCTACCATCTACTTTATTTGCTATTGATAATTAACATATTATTTGAATAGTGTGCACAATAAAATTATTTTGCCAAAATATCCCCATATGAAAGACAGAATACAATTCATAAGTTTCCTGGCATGCTTTCTGGGGTAGCCACGCTTCTGGGGGTTTCTTAGTGTCCTCATCCTAAAGACTAGAGTCTGTGCTTGCTCTGGCGTGTCAGCTGGGGGTCAGTATGGACATTTCTTTGTTGATTTGGGAGTCATTTTTTGGACTCGTTGCTGTTGCTTTGTGTTTGGCGTTTGAGAAGGCCACAACTAATAAATACATCAGTTGTCTGTAAGTTGAAGAGAGAGCTTACACTCTGTATTTGCTAGGAGGATCCGGAGAGCTTGGAGGCCTCCCTCATTCCACTGTTGAAGGGTCCTGGCCAGTGGTCGGCAAACTCATTAGTCAACAGAGCCAAATATCAACAGTACAACAATTGAAATTTCTTTTGAGAGCCAAATTTTTTAAACTTAAACTATATAGGTAGGTACATTGTTATTAACTTCATTAGGGTATTCCTAAGGCTTAGGAAGAGCCACACTCAAGGGGCCAAAGAGCTGCATGTGGCTCGCGAGCCACAGTTTGCCGACCACTGTCCTAGCCTATTAGCCCATTCACCAAGGAAAGAGTCGCCCTTTACTGTTCACCTCTTGCAGACCCACTATTACTTAAGAGACCCCAACAGCCTACCTGCATATGAGCTGAGGACCCCTCCTCTCTTATGAGTCAGGAGATCTGGGTGTGTGCAGACAAGTAGCCGTGGGGAAGAGAAAATGCACAAAGCATTATAGGAGAGTCGGCAGACTGAAGGAGGAAACAGCAACATAATCAGAACAGATGACTCTTGCGAGTACCCTTAAGGGAAGAAATAAAAAGAACGCTAAAAGAAAATAATGTGAGTTCCTAGGGAGACCAGAGAACTTATTACAAAGGAGCAATCTGAGAAAAAGAAAGAGTTCTTGGAACTCAAAAACTTTCTTGGAAATGGAATTAAGTGTCTTGAAGCTCAGATGGAAGAATTATGCCATAAAGAGGAAAATCTCAAAGAAATAGAAATTATGAGTGCAAAGCAAAAAATAAATGTGAAGATGCATCTTATTGTTGGTAGAGGATAAATGAGTTTGACCTTCTTGAAGAGTAATTTGGACTCTCCATCTAGTAATAAGCTGTATACACCCTATTATAAAGTTCTCAGTATTCTAAGAACTACCCTACGGTGTAAGAGCATGAGTCCAAAAATAAATGTTCAAAATGCTTTCTGCAAACTCGTTGAATAGCAAAAAGGCTGGGTGCAATATATTAGGGCATGTCCACGAAATGGATTCTACTTAGCCCCTAGAGAAAGAGGAGATCCATAAATAACAATTTAGAATGCATGGCCATGAAAATATCAAGAGAATAATTTCCATATTATAGAAAACCATATAGCATAACCTTGTTTTGTTGAAAAAATTTTAATAATATATGAATATGTACAAAAGTGTATGCATGCATGTGTGATTTCATAAGCATAAACAACAATTGCAGTCAGCAATGTTAGCTGTTTTTATTGTTAAACATGAATTTTTCTTCCGATATTATCCCAACACTGCCCCCGTTAGACTTCCCAGAATTCTTTTTCTAAATTGGAACATCAAAAACCACCTTCCCTCCTCACTGACCACCTTGTAATTTTGTATTAAATCATCATGTGCTCTGCCCCGGCCAGTGTGGTTCAGTTGGTTGGGTGTTGTCCTGTGCACCGAAAGGTTACTGATTCCAGTCCCAGTCAGGGCATATGTCCGGGTTGCAAGCTCAGTTCGGTAGGGGGCATGCAGGAGGCAGCCAACAGATGTTATGCTCTCACAACTCTCTCTCTCTCTCTCTACCTCTCTCTCTCTCTCTCTCTCCCTTTCTCTCACCTTCCTTCCTTTCCCTCTAAAAATCAATAAAAAATCTTAAATAAGTAAGTAAATCATATGCTCCCTCCAAATTGTCTACTGGTCTCTCCAACCAGACAGACATTATCACGAGGGCAGGGGATGAATGCATTATTCGGGTCTAGCTCAATGTCCTCCGCATACCAGGCACTCAATACACATTTAGCAAATGAGTTAGTAAGTTTAAGGACCTTCTTTCTCCTTTAAGAATTCAGGCTTTTCTTTTTCTAATGTAGAAAGAAGCCTAGAAGAGCAAAGGTGAGTTTTTCTGTCCCTCTATAGCCTGTGAGACCTCACCACCCCATTGTCCGTAATGGCTTTATTTATTTTGTGACCCAAGAAAAATCGGTACCAGCGCATTAAGCTACATAATGCGGTCTCAAGGGCAGCGCTGAGTAGTGTTCAGAGTAATCAATGATAGTGCGGTGAAACTTGCCCTAGTGAAGAGCTCTTGTCCAATGAATTTGTGGATGGAAACAGACGGTTTTCTTTGTTAATACTTTCATGGCTACAGAAGAACCCGCTTTCGGAGGCAGTAGTGAAAACTTTCCTTAGGTGAGAGCGTTCTACATTTGTTTCCTAGCAACAAGTCCCTCCAGGGAGCCAAAGGGTCCACAATTTCAGAGGAGTTTGGAGGGGTGAGTGGGAGGGCTGTGGATGTCATGCAGGGAGGTCAGACCGATGTTCCAAATTTCTTCCAGTCAGTGCCGCATAGAACACCTTGCTAAGCCACACCGTAGGATTCAGCTAAAAAGGTCAGCTCGATAGAAATGTATCCGAGTAAAGAACTGGTGTAAAACACTGTGAAAGAAAAATTACCCCTTTTCTTCCTGGGCCCAGCAGTTCCATAATTTAGCAGTTGGTAAGTCTAGGAGCCTCACCCCCAACTGTGTCCGTGGATAGTAAATGAGGAACCACGTGGCTTACGAAAGCATTTAGGGACTTTTCCCATGTGGGATGATGCTCTGACTCAATTATACTCAGCAGTGGGAGGCATGGAGATGAGAGGTAGGCAATCTGGGAGAGAAATGTGGGACAATATTAGGGCTTTGACTGCCAGGAGTGGAGATTCCTTACCCAAGCAAGACTCTCTCCATAGCCACCTTCCTAGCTCCAGTGTCATAGACTTATCTTCTTATTTGGTTTTCCAAACTGGCCTTCTGATAATAAGAATAACAAGAACAGTAACAACACCAGGAAGCATTTACCCAGCCCCCACTGTGAGCCAACTTATGCCACTACTTTACACATATTATCTTCTTTAACCCTTCCGTGATTCTTTGAAGTAGCCACCAACATAATTTCTATCGATTTGCTGGTCACACTATTACTACAAATGGCAGAGTTTGGAAAAATATTGCCCGCCAAAGTGACCAAGCTGACTTATCCAGACCCATGTGGGTAGCATGACAAGAACTTTTTCTAGGTCTGAGGACCCTGTGACTGAGTGTTCAGTCCTGGAGATGACCTGGGATTGTCTGAGTCTCAGAATGCGAAGAGTTCACACCAATCATGGGGACTTACCTGACATCCCCGTTAGACCTACTCCCCTGAAAAGCACTCCTTTGGATATAACTGTGGTAGATTTTTAAAAAATACTGGATTTGGAAGCAAGTGGAGTTGTGGTGGGATAACGCCACACTGAATAATTGCCTACACCAGTGGTCGGCAAACCGCGGCTCACGAGCCACATGCGGCTCTTTGGCCCCTTAAGTGTGGCTCTTCCACAAAATACCACGTGTGGGCGCGCACGTACAGTGTGATAGAAACTTCGTGGCCCATGCGCAGAAGTCGGTTTTTGGCCTGGGTGAGTCTATTTTGAAGTGGCGTTAGAAGAAGTGGGGGTACATTAGCTGAGGTCGACCCCTCAGATTGAGGACGTTTTTAGCAAAGGCCAGCTTAGGAATACCCTGATTAAGTTAATAACAATGTACCTACCTACATAGTTTAAAAAATTTGGCTCTCAAAAGAAATTTCAATCATTGTACTGTTGATATTTGGCTCTATTGACTAATGAGTTTGCTGACCACTGGCCTACACAATTGGCAAGTGCCTCTCAAGCACAGACAGTCTAATTGTTTCTTTTCACTGCCTTCTGGAAACACTACTCCCCAGGAACACTCTCTGTTTCTTGGAAAAGAAACTTGTCCACTTATCCCAACAAGCACGAATTGAGAAAATCATAACCTTTAGGAGGAGTTTCATTTAGCGGAACAATGTGTCAGAACTGGGCCTGCAAGAACATGTCCAATGTCCGTGTGAACCAGAAGCAAGAGAAAGATGATTCTAAGCCAGCGGTCGACAACTGGTGGTCCATGAGGTCCGAAAGGTTGGCGACCGCTGCTTTAAGCCATTGAACGGGGCCCTAGACTCTCAGGTTTCCTGTTGCCAGGATCGCACCTGGGAGACAACGTCAGCCTCGAGTGATCTCGAAACTCTAGGATGTGCAGGGTGGGGAGCTGAGCATGAAATGAGATGCTACCATTACTCCCGTGTTTTCTCTCTGGGCTAAAGCTTCTTGTACCTCTAAGAAGTTTCCCATTAAATATGTTTTCATCTCTAGGTTTCTCATTTTTCTCAGTCAGTGGCTGGACCTTCAAGGGCAATTCACTCTTTTTCATTTTGAGGTGGTTACTGTACAATTTTGTAATGCACTTTTCTCTCTCTGTTTCAGAGGCTACCCTTCAAAGACAGACACTTCACCTGCAGCAAAATGTAAGTACATTTCCTCCTTGCAATGTCTACTTCTCCGCTATCATCCTGAAAACCTCCCAATCATTAAGGCTCCCTCTCACATCGTTCCACTTTTAAAGTCCGCCTTCCCAAACACGGCCACGTTTGAAACTACCTTCCCTACCCTTGATCTGTATAGCACTGCAGAGCATTTTATAAACTGTGTGAGGAGCAAATTGCACTTGATCAGGGCTGCAACTATACTGCATCCAAAAAGCTAGTAAAAAGTGCAGAGGAGCCCTAGCCAGTTTGGTTCAGTGGATAGAGTGTTGGCCTATGGACTGAAGGGTCACAGGTTCGATTTCGGTCAAGGGCACATGCCTGGGCTGTGGGCTTGATCCCTAGTAGGGGGTGCGCAGGAGGCAGCCAATCAATGATTTTCTCTCACCATTGATGTTTCTATCTCTCCCTCTCCCTTCCTCTCTGAAATCAATAAAAATAATTAAAAAAATATTTTTTAAAGTGCAGAGGAAAAATTAGGCAATATTCTTTTAGACATTATGACCCTCGGACAGCAAACATTTGAATATGCAGGTTCTCTCCCATGGCTGCCGAATTTATTACTCTCTGCCCAGCTGCTCCTCGCAGTCACAGGCTGTTTCAGGTTGAATAGCATTGCCGGTATCTTGATAATTCCTTCCCGTGTGTATTGCATTGAGGCTGCTCTGTAAACCAGTGTTCTTTCTAGAACGAATCTATTATGTTGCTTTACTCTTGGCATTCCCAGTGCCCGTACCCAAATTCCAAACTCCCTCTATTCTAAAGACCCAATAAAATTATACCGGATTTGAGCAGGGAGCTTTGAGTATTTTAGAGGTTGGTCTACGTGATTGGGAATAATTGGGAATGAGTATGAGAATGTTTCTTGCCTCTTTTTAATAAAAATAAAGTTTATATTCTCTCTGGAATAAATTGATCCCAGTGCTACATACAGATATTCAAACATCAGCACAAGAAACATTCATCCTTAAAACCACTCAAATATTACATCAAAGTATTAAGCATTCACAGGGATATTTTAGAAAGTCAGTCTCTGCATGATATTGCTGTGGTCTGTATTGCATTGTCAAGACACCTGCATGTTATGAATATTTTAAGCAGCTTACATGGATGGAGTCATGTTAGACTTTTATGAGCAGCGCTATCATGAGTATTTTATTTGTACAAGTGTTAACCTTTGACCGTATTTTCTCTTTTGAATGTGGAAACTGTTCAGGAGAAAGTGTCTGTGTTTACTTTGTTTATTTCGCAGCTCTTTCATCACACCGTTTCTGCTTATGTAGGTTTACCACTGCTTTTTAAGGATTTAATTTTAAATCCTAAAAAATAGTTGCTATGTGTTCATGGCGAACATTAGATGGATGGCAATTTAAAGCAGCATTTTAAATCATTCTGTGCAAATACGCAACTGGAAACACATTTATGACAATTACCTCAAGATCTCTTTGTCACAGTTTCAGTCGAAAGCACCTTTATTGTCCCGGATTTGAGGGGTGGGGAGGGGAGAAGGCCAGCCATTTCACCTTAGAGGGGTGAATTTGTGATTGCTTTATTTTTGCATTTTTTTCTCAGGGAAATACAAAGTGGTTGGTGACCTCTTATACTAGTAAATATTCTGAGAAGAACATGTGGGCTAGGAGTTTACACTCACCAGACAAAACGGGTCAACATACCTCTTTCTCATCATCTCTGCACAACTGGTAGAAACTTGGTCTGACCCGTCGCGTCATGGAAACACATTAAAATCACCAGGCAATTGTGACTTGGGTTCCTTTTGGCAACCGGACTGGATCAGCCCCTCCTGGGGCTGACATTATTCCTAATGATGATTGCATTAGACAACCAATGCAAATGTTAACGGCCTCATCAGCGCCCCATTCAGAGGAGCCCTGATCTAGGTGAATGGCTGGAAACTTTCAAAGTAATTGCCCTAACCGGTTTGGCTCAGTGGATAGAGCGTTGGCCTTCGGACTCAAAGGTCCCAGGTTCGATTCCGGTCAAGGGCATGTACCTTGGCTGCGGGCACATACCCAGTGGGGAGTGTGCAGGAGGCACCTGATCGATGTTTCTAACTCTCTATACCTCTCCCTTCCTCTCTGTAAAAAATCAATAAAATATATTAAAAAACAAAAACACACAAAAAAACAAAGTAAATGCCCTGGAAAAGTGTATGGGCCCCATAAAACCCCGAGGACACTGAGGGAGGATAATCTTAGCCAAGTCAGGAAGGAATAGATATAGATCAGCGGTTCTCAACCTGTGGGTCGAGATCCCTTTGGGGGTCGAACCACCCTTTCACAGGGGTCGCTTAAGACCATCGGAAAACACATATTGAATATATAATTACATATTGTTTTTGTGATTAATCACTACGCTTTAATTATGTTCAATTTGTAACAATGAAAATACATCCTGCATATCAGATATTTACATTCCGATTCATAACAGTAGCAAAATTACAGTTATGAAGTAACAACGAAAATAATTTTATGGTTGGGGGTCACCACAACATGAGGAACTGTATTAAAGGGTCGCGGCATTAGGAAGGTTGAGAACCACTGATAGAGATGTACCTCCAGAGAGAAAGAGGGCGGGTGATGGAAGGAAACTCATGACCAAACATCAGAAGGCTCCTGTCTGAGTCCCTGATCAACCCCTTAGAAACTGGATGCTTTGGGGGAATGTTACTAACCCCTTCGTTTCTAAGAATCTTTATTACGGGTGGGAGGAGGGGAAAGGAAAACGCTGTTCCTGCTTCCATCGAAGGGTTGCTGTGAGGATCACATCAGATGATGTTTCCGAAAGATGTTCCCATCCAACGATGTTTTGTATCTTTTAGGGATTTTTGATCAGATTACTGGAGGCTCCCTCTGTTTTAGTGGGAATCCCTGGGTCTCTGAGGGCAAACGTTGGGCCTTAACATTAATACTGCATCATAGAAGAAAACAGAACCGCACTGGGCCACATTGGGCCCCGGGAAAGACTCGAGCCCGCATTTTTTTGTTTCTTTTCAACCACACATAGTCTTTGGGGCCACGGCCTCTGGTGGAGGAGGATTGTCTTCTGGGTGGTAGGGGTGAGAAAGTTGCCAAACGAACCTGAATTATCCAGAGGCCCGTAAAATGCGCAATTGCTTTTTAAGAGGCCTGGTGATATTGTGTGTTCCTTTCGAGTTTTGGCAGTAACGATTTTCTGCAATTTGTGGTTTTGCAATTTCTCTTTACGCAGACAACACTCTGGCTCTCATTCAATGCCCCACTGGTGGGGGAGGGGCTGGAGGAGGGAGGAGAGAGAAATTCTCTGGGGCTCCGACCACTCCAGAAAAAGAAGGAAATGTTAATGAAATAAGTCAGACAGAATGCCTGAGACTAGTGGACGCTGGTTGGTTAGGGGGGAAGAAACAACTGTTAATAAATTGCGTGGCGTGGTAGGGATTTCATCAGGGCTGTGGTCGATTAGGCCAAGGTCTGTTCCCTTGAAGCCTTCTTGACTCTCCACTGAGCTCTGCTTGGATTGGGTCTCAGTCCCTTCCTCTTCCCCCTGCAGTCAGCAGGGTGGAGCCTTGTCCAGGCTAAACATCCCAGCTGCTTCCCCTGGCCCCTGTGGCTGCTCTGGCCTTGGTGGGATGCTCTCTAAATAGTCCACCTCTCGGTGTTCGCTTGCCAATGACATCAAGTTGGTTTCTGTAAATTACCTGGAGATCCCTGTCCCAGAATATTCTTGCGTCCCAGCTGCATTACCCTCCTTTTCCTCAAGGCCGTATGCTCTCTGCAGCGAAGTCCGAGGTCCATGGCCCCGCACTCCAGAGGCAGGGCTCCTTCTCAGCGTTTAGGCCACAGTCATTTGTCCTGTTTCTAGTCATCAGCTCAGGAAAGGGTTTGCCCACTGTGTTTGCTTAGTTTATGACCGCTGTGCATTGTGCTGAAGGACTTAAAGTTGCATCCAGCCCAAGCCAGTGTGGCGCAATGGATAGAGCACCAGCCCTAGGACTGAAGGGTCTTGGGTTTGATTCCAGTCAAGGGCACCAACCTCGGTTGCAGGCTCGATCCCCAGCCCTGGTCGGGGTCCGTGCAGGAGGCAACCAATTCATGTGTCTCTTTCACACTGATGTTTCTCTCTCTCTGTCTCTCCCCCTTCCTTCCACTCTCTCTAAAAATCAATAGGAAAATATCCACAAGTGAGGATTAAAGTTGCATCCAGCATCAATCTTGTATTCCTTCTCTGTTCACTTCTTTATATCAACACGGCCCCCTGTTCTCCCTGGAGTGGAATCCGGGACTCAGGCCCATAGTTCATGGCTTTCTATGCATCCAGGCCACTTCTTTCTTCTCCTTTCATGACCTAAATGTCACTGTTTGCCTCTAAGAGAAATAGAAAGATAAGTACTACTCATGTTAATTGGATAGTTTTTGCGTATTGGGGAAACTATGACCTTCTTCCTGTGCGTGTGTGTTTTAAAGCTTTCGGGAACTGTTTGTGCCTTTGGAAGTCATGGGATTGAATGTTGGAAGATGCTTTCAACCTGGGGCAGTTCCAAAGGCCCCCCCCCCTCCGCCGCCACACACACACACACCATCCTCCTCACAACACCCTCTCTGGGAGCTCTTTCCAGAGCCCAGGGAAGCCAAATCCACTTGTTTATAGCTCAACCTTCAAACTTTCTCTGCTGACCTGAGATAACCTTCAAGGGGGCTGGTTGGTTTGCCTCTGAGGCAGCTCCGAGGTTGATATGACAATCCTCCAAGTCCTTGGAATCTGATTCCCTATGCTCTCTGAGTCGTCCTTGTCCAGGCTTAACGTCCCCGTTCCCTCAGACATTCTTCCTGTGACTTGGTTGAGTTGTCCTTTTTCATTTGTCCCAGTCACTTTCTTCCATGTCCCTCTTAATGTCACAGCCTGAACCTAAGAGACTGCCCCGATGGCTGACTACCACAGCGCCCAGAACAAAAAGCTCTCCTATCGTTCCGGTCCTGTTATTTCTA